AACAATACGATAGATGGAACAGACGAAATGCAGTCGAGCTCGTGAACTTTCTCTCTCTCCACAAACATTATTTACGTTCTTGTTCTTCCTCCCTCTCTCTCTCTCGCTCGTGAACTTTCAATATCTTGAAAAACAAACACCTAGAAAAAAAAAACAAAAAAAAAGACACACAATTAAAGTTTTAGACTCGGTTACTGAGACGCTTATTTCTCTGTCCTAATTCAAAAGCAATCCCTGCTACCGACTTTCAGAGTTCAGACATGCGAAGCCATTCGTCACTGTTATGTACATCGTCAGTCAGCACGTCACTAGCGCCACCTAGCGCCAGCTACAGTGTCCCTAAGCAAGGGCCAAGCCTAGTCAAGAGTTGGAGTAGCCCCGATCATGTAACGGACCTTAAATAAAACATATGCTCTCAGTAATGCAAAAATGTTCCAAAAGCCGGGATTCATGATTAAAAACAAATACCTCCGACTTGCCTAACAATACCAACAATTTATCAGACGTTTCGTCTCCTACGCGGGAGACATCATCAGTGCGGCCTGGGCACACCCGGCTAGCTACCAGCAATCCAACGCTTCTGGAGCGTTGGATTGCTTCGCTAAGGAAGCCTGGCCCGAGGGCAGGCCTCCCCTTCCCATAATCCTTTCGAATCCCCAGGGGACCCTTGTAGCACCCCATTCTCTTTCCCCTTGCTCGCTCCTTCTATTTGAGAGAGGATATTCCTTCCGAAGGGGTGCTAGCACACGATGTGGGTGTTGTCAGGCCGTCTAACTCCCTCGAACTCCCCTCATTTCTTAGAGTGTACTTTCAACGAAACGAAAGACCGAGACTACAACGCGCCCTTGCTGAAGCAGATCAAGACCGACCGCATACATCAAGTTCCCGTTTCTCAAGAACGGTTCGACAATCTTGTGGACACGTCTGTGGACGAGACGCTGCAGTCATATACTAACAGCTCTCATATACTGACAGTCAAAGACCAAGTAACAACACACTAACGTAAAAGTAACTTCGGTTAGTCGTGGCAAGTAACGGCATCGATATTTCGTTACATTTGCAAACTGGTAACGGAGCTCTGTAACGCGCTAGCTCTTTTCCAAGCTACGAGTAACGCTGTTTTATTACTTATTTTCGGTAATGGCCACAACACACTGGCGAAACGTGCGGTTGGATCCGATTTCACCGGCGAGCACTTTCGCAGCATTCATGTTCGAAAACCTTTGGACCCGACTAGGGGCCGAACGCTGACCGAGTAGGGGCCGAACGCTGACGCGGCATTCGGGCCCAATGCATGCTGAAAGTGCATGTCCAAAATATGGCGGCTTCCTGAAATTCGAAGCAGCAGCTATAATACAGGAAGGCGTGCACTTTTGATGAAGGTCTATTCGTGGTGACACCCATGTGCGGCCTTTAATTTTTTTCTTTTGCGTCGAGAATTTGTTTTTAACATTTTCAGTTGATGCTCCGTCTTTATTCTGGTCGTTAAATTGGCGTCAGTCAGTTTAGAACCGGATGCATGTAGCGGACCGGGGGGAAAATATATATAAAAATAGCAACCCGTTCCCAGCTGTACTCCGTCATAGGTTTCGCACGAGTGCTTCAGTGAGGTTGCGGCGAGCTGGCAAGTTTGAACATCTGGCAACGCCACGAGGCAGAACGGAGAATCCACGGTAGGTTCACTGTAATCAAATGTTTCAAATATAACGGGAAATATGCGGAAAAGTTCGGTCAAAATAAGGAAACGGTTCTGATAGTTTAAAAATCAGGAACGCTTATCAGTTAATAACGGGTCCGTTATTTGCCAAGAACGAAATTTCTCCGTGAATAAACAGTCCCACTATACTTGTATTATCGCTTAAGAAAAGTGTTATTACACTAAAAAGACGTCGTCTTTCCTTAACAGTCGACAAAAAGTCCTGTAATTCGTAAAAAACAGAGCTTAAGTTATTCTTTTGCGTCATTCGTTGTTATTCCTACATTCAAAAACTTTTTTGGCGAATAAACAAAGTAAATAAAGTCAAACGTCTGTAAAAAAAAAAAAAAGAATACTTTCCTTAGTTGTTTATATGAAGGATTATTAAATCAGTGAACGAAGCCATAGTTAAAATAAATTAATCACCAGAGGAATGTTTGTTCGCAATACGAGGTAGAGTGCATAAAAATAGAGCAGACGTCCTATGTTAATCCACAGTATATACAGTCACAGCGATATCTGCCACATGCCACGTCGAAGTCGTTAAAAATGGGCGTTGAGTTCATGCACCGTGGATCAATGTTCCCTCGAGGTGCGGGAGAACCAAAACGTTCTGAACAAAAGAGACGACTGGCCATTTTGTTCCTAACGCTTCTGTTCCTTTTTTGTTCCGGAGAGCGCGAAAGCGCGTCTCCCGCCACAAGCTCTCGGGCTTCACAGTGCTACCGCGCCATTTTGTTAACGGCTATTTATTATTTTTTTAAAGAGAGCGCGTGCAGTGGGCATGGTTTAATAAAAAGAGGTTAGGGCGAATACCTGTGAGCTGCCTGTTCCCTGCGTGCTTAAGGCCTCGGAGGACGTGAGATGGAAGAATAATCGTCGGGGTAATTGAATCATTAACTAAAATTTAATCATTCATATCATATAGCCACTTATAGAAATCGGCGTAAATACTGGATTTTTAACACGATTCATCGAATCATTATTAAAAGTTTATTAATGAATTGTAGGATATCAATCTACTGTGGCGTTTCTAAAGGCGCCGGATTAAGAGATATATAAACTATACCCTCGGAACATTTCGAAGAAATATTATGTAGAAAATATTTGGTCAGACTCCGCGCGTTTATGCGACAAACATCGCAGTAAATGGCCAAGCGGAATTTAAAAAAAAATAATAATAAACTGCGATATAGAGCCCGTCGAGTCAACGTGGCATTCGTAGAGGAGTGTGAGTGATTGCCTTGGTGGATGTGTTGCTGCTATCTGTGTGTTGTTCTGCATTGTATATGGCAGTTCATTGTAGTACAGTTAGACCTTGAATGGGCGACATAAATACCAGAGACACGGTTCGTTGATGTTTATCGCTGCAAAACTTTTCGTGCAACCTAAAGAAAACAACAAACACTGTTCTTTCACAAACTTCCAGAACAGAAACCCGTTGTTGGTTTGTTTTTACAAAAACTCTGTTGTACATTTTTAAGAGCAGAAACTGTTTTTTTTTTTTCTATTACGCTTGGCAGGACAAAGGCAGCCATCTTACAGGAAGGACAAGAACCAAAAAACATTTTCTTTTAACAAAAATGAGGGAAACAGAGAAACATACGAAAACAGATGATTTGTGGCAAGCTGCCAAGCTTTTCCGCTCTTTTGGTTTTTGCAGAGTCGTTGTATACAATGTATAGCGTTCGTAAAGGGGTATTCACACGAGGGAGAAATCCCGGGGATTTCTCCCCGGCACGCGCGTATCACGAGATGAAAACGCGAGGCTTTTGCATATCGCAACGCCCGACGTTTTCTTCGTGGGATGCGCGTGCCGGGGAGAAATCCCCGGGATTTCTCCCTCGTGTGAATACCCCTTAAGGGGTGTTCACACGAGAGAGAAATCCCGGGGATTTCTCCCCGGCACGCGCGAATCACGAGATGAAAACGCGAGGCTTTTGCACATCGCAAAACCTGACGTTTTCGTCGTGTGATGCGCGTGCCGGGGAGAAATCCCCGGGACGCGTGTGAATACTCCTTAACTTGTGAGGAAGTTTAGTAAATCGTTCCGACAACTCCGATAACGATACCCGCTACACCGCTGGCGCCTTTGAGCGTGCACCGTAGAGTTATTCAGTATCGTTTCCGGGGATTACCGGAACGACCAACTAAAACTCTCTACTAGGGAGTTTTAGTAGATCGTTTCGATACACTCGATGACAATACCGATAACAATACGAGGCATGGACGAGGCGTCGGGGTTTTCAGAACGATATTCTAAAACTCCTTATTGAATTAATTTCCTTAAAACGTTCTGCTCAAAGTGCGTTTTTGTTTTGTTTTTGTTTTAAATTCTGAGTGGCGGCATTATGTTTTGCTAATTTTAGTAGGTGCCTTGAACGAAACGCCAAGTGGTGTCAGCAAGCTGTGAATAACTCTTCAAGCGTATTTATTTTTATTTTCATCGATTTATAAATAAATAGAAAGCTTAAATGATACTGCTCCAAGCTTACTCAGCTTGAAATAATGCAGAAGAGAGCACAAAATCTTGCCTGTGTAGGGCGTACTATCACTTTTTTATTGGGGGGATCCTGAAACTTCAGTCTATCTGACCAACTATCTGTTGTTGTTTTCTTATGAATTATATGTTCTGTTTTACGCCTCTTCGCCGTCCGCTTTGTAGATCAAACAGAATTGTAGGAAAATTGCATAGAAAAACCTAATTTTGATATTGTAAAAACAAAAAAAAAAATTTAAATATTATATAAATCAACATTCTCTCTCAAATAGAATGTAACACCCATACTCTAAATAACAAATATTGCCAATATAAGTAAAGAGAAGAGATTTATAAAAAGAAAGTTTATGTCTAAGAAGAAAAAAAGAAGTTTCCCAGGTCTGACAAACATAAAAATATGTCAAACTATGACTTTTTTTTTTTTTTTTTTTCAAACAAAAAAATTAAAGTCTTTCTTTACCCAAGTATTTTTTGCTAACTCCAGTGGAAGCACGGTTGTCATCTTTTAAGAACCTGATTCCCAGATTCCGGTACACCAAGAGTCAGATAAACAAATCGACCGTATATAATAAAACAGTAAGTTTTTTTGGTTTTTTTTCAGAGCAGATAGTGATAGTTTTTGTTTTTGTTTTTGTTTCTTCTTTCTGTGTTTTTTCTTTCTCTCTGATTTATGGTGTCAAATGAACACAAGCTCTTCCTTTAGCTCTTCCATTTCTTAGTAATCATCTTATTGATCAAATTTTATTTTCCAGGTAGACGCCAAAATTTACAGCTAGACATTCTTCGGACAAAACCCCGAGTATCATGAAGGGCGACGAAACGAAAGAACGGTACCTCCAGGGATTTCAGCCGAAAGAATATCCTCGGTTCATGAAGGCATTCCATGGCGTTCACTCATTTTACCAAAAGGAACTTCACTCCATCTTCAACTCTCGTGAGTTTACCTACATATATCGACTTTCACAAAAAATGTGCGGTCTACGTGAAGGATCAAAGTTAATTGAAGCTGTAATAGAACCGCCTTCTTGATGTTTCATCACGCAACAATAATGACCGCCATTTCTTTTTGTTCTTAAATTCTAGGCTAGGTGGCGCAAGCTACCGCCCGTTGTAATGGGTGCAGCCGTTAGCACACATCCATGGGCGCGAAGCGGGTGATTGGGTGGCCAATACTGGCTTAGAGAACGTGGCCAACCGATGGCGGACTCCGATAGTTGGCACAGTAGCAACTAAATGGCGCCAAGTTATATAAAAAAAAGTATTTTTCTTGCGAGTTCCCGTTTTGGTATTCTTTTTGCAGAACCTCAAATATCTGGGTATATTTGGTAGCTTAAGATAATTGCTTTCGCTAATTTTTAGTGAAAAAAACTTCATCTAATTCAACGGTTTCTCTTACTTCACGAAATACCTTCTATAGGCACGGCACTAAGAACGAACTCAACATTGGTAATGTTTTCGCGGTTCCCTCAGATGAACATAGATTTACTGCCAAAGTTGTAGTGTCCCGGACCGGCAACTTTCGACCCACTGTACTCTGTTCTAACACCCAACATCAAGGTCCGATTAAAAAAAAAAAAAAAAGAAGAATTGCGAAGTTTTAGCTGTGTTCTTCAGAACTGATCGAATTATACTTAAAAAGTGTCAAGCTACCGCTTTCATTGTTTTCTTCTATAGCTCAGCGATCACTATCGCACCTTTATTTCTTCGCGATTCCCACATAATGTGGTTATATTTCTTTTTTCTCGTCATATTCGCACCTTCTCAAAGCAGTCATGACTTCAAATTGCTACGCGGCATGAAGCCAAGGCCTCGTGCGATAAAACCAGGCCATGCTCTTTACGCAGCCATTTCCGACTCCTGGCGGACGCTTCTGGACGTTGGGTGTGGGCCCACCCCTGGCAACGTCTTTCCGGCGACAAGAAAGATCGACAGCATTGTCCTCAGTGACCTTGTACCCGGAAACCGAGAGGAAGTAGAGAAGTGGATTGAAAAGGCACCGGACGCCTTGGACTGGTCCTTTATGAGCGAACCATTGGCCATCTTGGAAGGCTGCAAGTGAGAAGGCATTTAGGGGGACGCATACTATACCATCACGCGGCTTACCAACAAGCCCGCGTGGTGAAGTCTGGGCGTGCGCCGTGGCGACAGCAGTGCGACCGCATCGGCGTAACACTTTAGCGGTGCGTCGGTTTACAGGGTGACTCAAGTAAATCTCACGCTGTAAAATGAGCCGGAAAAATCGACGGCACCTGCGTATTGGGAGTTTACATTTTCACTGAATGTGCTTTGAGGTGGTGCACTTCAGCTGATAATATTTTAAGGCATAGACTCCCTGTCTTTGAGAAATGAAACCAGCAAACTGGCTGGGGTCAACGGCGGACGGGTTTGCAGACGACCAGGTTAGCGATTCCTTTAACGGGTGGCGCCATCTCCCGATAGGTGCAGCGAGCAGATATCGCACTCTCAGTTCAAGACAGACGACCTGGATGTTTACTCGTTACATCTGTCGGAAGATGACGCCACAAGTTACAAATGTCTTTATGTCAGTCGTATGAGTTGACGACCACCGTAGACACTGATTAATTTCTCTTTATTTTTTTTATTTTTTACAATAAAGAGAGGTACGCCTTGAAATACTACAAGGTAGAACGCACTACTAGAATACACCTTAGGTAAATGGTTGAGATCGCTACGTTCTTTTCAGGTATTTCATCGGCCGATTTTAGATTCCCTCTTCAAGAAACGCGGACCGAATCCTTTCTGCGAAAAGTACACATCGCACAGCAAAAACAAGAGTTAATATCGTACCAAAGGGCCCATTAGGTAAAATAACATTGTATTCAATATAATAAGATTATAATTATTAATTTAGAGTTATGTTCGTAATTGCTAAAATTAAGGGAATGGTTTCAATTTCAAGTTTGCTGGGCATCATCAAAAACTTATAAATGCACCCACGCTCTAAAGATGTGAGGCAGGCACAGCATTTTACGGCCCTCCGAGTAAACACTAAATTTAGTCGTGTTTTAGAGTTTCGGTGCTATATCAAAACGCATATTCTCGCGCCAGTGATCCTGCTCTCCCATAGCCAATGCGCGTCGAAAGTAACGCGAGTCGTCACGTATACATTCTTCGCGTAACAGAAATGAACCGAACAATCAAAGCTTATTCCTGCAATGTCATTCGAGCACATTGTTTCATTTCGCTGTCTTGCGCCACACTTCTTTTTCTCGTACGAGGGTGGCGAGGCCGTGGTTGCGTGCTTTGAGCACGGGGGTAGGTGGATGGGTAAAGGGGGGGGGGGGGGGGGGGGGGGCAGGATGTTTGGCGCGAGGGAGGGAAACGCTTCAAAATTGACTGTTGTTGCTTTCAGAACGCAGTAAATTGCTGCGCGTGCTTTGTATGTGTATGATGTGTGTGTATTTAACAGTTTATGATGATGCCTGCACTTCGTTTCATCTTAAGTCTAGGCGCAGACCACGCTAGGAGCTGATCGGAACAATCAGATGGCGACAAATCCGCACAATAATGGCGTTCGTCATGTTTCTGCTCGCGTTCTATCATCGCTGTACCAATCATGAGCAGAAGAGGGCCCACTGACTTGCGCTTTGAACGCTGCTTGGTTGGTCCCACTAGAGAGTTTTGGAATAGCAAGCCCCATCATTTGGGTTCCCCTAAGAAATTGGGGGACCCAAACACAACAAGATTGGCGTTGACGGCTTGTAGGATAGGGGTTTCGCAACGCAGCGCAGCGCGCTTACGTTTCCCGCTTGCAGCGCCAATGCGACTAACGAGCGTAATAATCGAAAAAAAATATTAATAAACGTAAAACATATGCGCTTAGCAAGTACTTTTTGTTTACAAATAATAGTTAAGGTAAACCCCAATCAAGCCGGCTAAAACAAGAGACAATCTAAAATCAGTATAAATATTGTTCGTTGTATTCAGCCGATACAATTAATCGAATCCGTAGCGCTCTAATGCTCGCTCTCAGATTTTATGGGCGTTCGTGTGCGATTTGATCGTCATATCTAACTGTCGCCGAAGAATTAGGCCTTCAACTATGCCGAAACTGAGGCAAACGCGAGCGAGCATACTCTGCGAGCAGCTGCTCTATTTAGATCTAAGCTGGAGCGACTTTGAAGCCCCGAAATAATTGCTTTCAAGCTGCAGGTATCGTACCACGAACAAATTCTACTCGGAGCCACGAAGTAGCGATACGTTGCCTTGTCAACGGTTACTGTGTCTCTTCAGACTTAGGAACGGCCAGAATCAGGAACGATTTTTAAAAGTAGGTGAGTCCACCGCTCATTCTTCGTGACTTGAGCGAGATAAAGCAAAGCGAGAGCCGGTGGCACGATTCATTGGCAATGAAATTGGCTAATACTGCAGCGACCACGACGAATTTGCTCCGAAGCGAGCAGAAAGGGCGCCGCCATGTTTGCCGACGCAACCCGGCCCCAAGGAAATAGGCGACCCACGCTGTTTCTCGAATTTCGTGTTGGGTGCGGGCGCCAACCCAAAACCCCAAACGGAGTTTGGGTTCTGCAGTGGTGAGCCCCTACTTCTTTGGGGCTATTCTCAAACTTTCGATGCGACGTCCAAGGAAAACACCTTTAAGCTAAGAAAGCTTAAGGGCTTTCCTGCGTCACTAATGAAGGCCACCGTAGGCCACAGAGTGGATGCGGCGTTAGCGTTTGGTAGGAACTCGTGAGCAATCAGTGAGAACACGACCTCTGGCCGAAAGCTGACGCCGTATTCGTGTCCAATCTCTGACCCGCGGTGGCCTTCTTCGCAGGGGAGTTTAGCACTTAGGGTTTCCTATCTTGGATGTGTTGATCAAACGGGTCCCCAGGTGGCGGGTTCGAATCCCGGCCAAGGCGCCCTCAATCTGAAGGGCGCTTATTTACGGAGAAAAGCGCTGTGTAATCGAGATTTCGGTTGCACCTATAGGCATCTCCAGGTGGTCGAAATGAATGCTCAGTCTTCCGCTGGGATGTGCCAGATGCCCTTCGTTGATTTTTCACGTAAAAAGGTCCAAATTCGACTTTGGCCACACCTGGATCGTAGCACGACTTTTGGGGGCTTTCAGGGCCCTAAATTGCGGGCATAAACATAATTTTAGCCCAAAAGAACTGCGCTACACGGGCAGTGGCCACAACAAAGGGATTTGTTCTGACGCAGGGACGCTAAAAGAGGAGCCGAGGACATCGAGGAAAGGACACGCGCGGCCGTCAAGAAAGTGATTCACTGCGACGTCCTGGACCCTAATGTCCTCCCCGAAGAACACACGGAAGTCTTCGACGTCGTCTTGTCGTGCCTTTGCTTCGGGACTGCGAGCCGAGACGAAGAGACATTTCAGAGAGTCGTACGGAATGTTTCGGGCGTGATTCGCGAGGGAGGGCACCTGATATTCTGCGCCATTGCCGGATCGTCCCAGTACACTTTCGCGGGCGTCGAGTATCGCGGGCTCTGCTTGACCGAAGCCATGGTGGAGGCCGCACTGATCAGTGCGGGGCTCAGAGTAAGACGCTGGGACTTGCTTGACATCTCTTCGACCGGTGGGACACGTTTCGCGTTCGTCGTCCTTGCAGAAAAAGTTTGATACGGCAGTCGCCCTACTCGATACATCGTACAAAAGACGCGGAGTTATCCGCCGAGATTATCTGCGGATGCGTGTCAAGTATGTTTGCTTCGTACATACGTATGCCCGGAACATGTCTGCAGGCAATGTTTGTATCACCAATGAGTTAGGACATCATGCATTGCAGACTGTCTTTGATATTCGAAACAGTACTGCGCGTGATGTCTTGGGGTCTTTTGTGGCAATCGTACATTAAATTGAAGGGTACGCTATTTTTGCGGAAATTTCTAAATTTTTCGCTGACTCTAGAAGCCTTTCAGCCCCCCGCTTAAGCCAAGACAGGCACTGTTAGAAAAATGGCTGGCTTCCAGGACTCTCGGTTGCGGCCGCTCTGCTGATCGTCGTGAGCGCGACGGCGTCGGCGTCATCCTTGCGACTGCGATTTTCCATACAGGACTACATTGCACTACTACGGGAGGTGCCCATCACAAATGTTTTTTTTTTTAAAAACCCACTAAGGTGGGCAACGATAGCCGTCTGCTAGCGACGCGCGAACGTTTCTCGGCGAAGGTGTGGTCCGTGAAGGACTGCACAGAAGGCATCTCTTGCTGAGGGGACTCAAGCGGACACGACCGGTCGATCGCTCCCTTCGCACTCTCATAGTGAAACCAATCTAAAATATATTTCTGGACCAAAAAACTTTTTTTTTCTCAATTAACGACATTTCATTTTTACAGCAAGATACGACATTTCATTAATAAGGCGCAAAACTTCCTTTTTTTCTTATAACTTGACAACGAATATGGGAGTATTGATTGTAGTCGCCTTTAGGTGGTGTAAAGCAGTGCCGCCCGACGCGTGCACTGCCTTTGCGTGAGCTCACTGAGATCATGAAAATGGCAGAGCGTCTCTTTCGAACGCCCGGCCTTCTGCACATCCTCGTTGCCTTCAGCGGTGCTTTGGCGGCATGTGCACGCTCGAGGTTCACGAGACGTCGAAGCGCTGTAGAAGGTCTCTCGCTGGAGGAGGGACAGCTGAACTTCTTGCCCTTCTTACCCTGTAAGCTTCTGTAGTATCGTGACCGGCTAGATTGCGCAAAAAGCAAACGTTCACTATCCCCTGCAGAAAGTATTTTGGTATTAAAGTTTGAAGTTCTATGAGGGGATAAGGCTAATGTATACCCGGAGTCAACGTCAAGACAAGATATGCATTCAAACGTGTGACAACTCTGTGCGCCTCGGGCAACAGTGTGCGCGCTCTCCATGGTGAAGGAATGTTTTTTCTTTGGCCCGCTGGCTCTGCGTGAAAAAGCGGCAGGGCAAATAAAGTAACGCGGCTGTCTCCCGCCGCCGGCTGGGAAAATAACCTTGCTAACTAGCTTGTTAGGTATGAGACCTGAAAACAAAGATGGTGAGATGATGAAAAATCATGACAAATATAATTAAATCATGATGTGTCTGCAAGTCCCCACTAAACTTGCATAAAAAGATGCCCTCAAGGGGAACCTAATGCGGTGCTGTCCCAATTCTGCATGGAAGCATAAAGTAACATGGTGTTAGTGGAGGCCTCAATAACATAAAATTATATTTTAAAAAAACGCGCCTGCAAGGTAAAGCTTTTTTTGTGTGTGTGTTTATTGTTAAAGTGTAGAAAATGTTCGCAGGACTGATACGAATATTCGACTGCTCGTTTAGCCTCGCCAGTGGTATCTGTCTACCGAGCAACACCAAATAAATGTACGGTGAAATAACAACGTAGTGTATGAAGCAACTGCATGCAAAATAGTGAGGCCGGCCGAAAGGCAACGGATCCGTCGGGTAAAACCAACACGTAAAACCGACGCTCGTTTATCCACGTCATACATGTATACCTGGCTAACAGCGATAGGGAAGAAAACGCAACGTAGTATAATGCAGAACCAATATATTATCCTCATTAAGCAAATGCATGCGAATTCGTGAGGTTAGCCAAACGGTCACGGCAGCGGACGGTCCGATAGGCAGATATAAATACTCCCTTCCGTCCGAATTTGTCAGTGCATCTATATTGCGTGCAGACCAGGACACAACACTGTGTTGGCATCTTTACTGATACTCTGGAGCGCGTAAACTGTCCTTAAAACAACACATGAAGCGCCTAAAGCTCGGTTGGCGCACAGCGAGGTGGCGACCTCCTTTCCTTCACCATGTCACGCAGCTGCTGACCGTCTCGCTGTTGCCATAGTTACTATGCCGAGACACACTGTTGCCGGATTTTCTGCAAGGGGCGACTCCAGCGAAATCGATGCCGCCTAGCGGCAACGCCGAGAAGCTCAAGAGAGTAGGTCGTTTCGACTCTGTCGTCTGCTATCGCTACTTGGTTCTCGTAGGCAGCATGAAAACAAACATTGTTTCCAGTAATTATTTTTATGCTTCCGCCATGTCATTCTTACGCACTGACTATACTCTGTCTCACCCTACGATCGACTAGGGCCCCTCAGAAAAGCTCGCATGCGCATTGCCAAAGAGTGCGCAAGAGAAATTCCGATACGCCGATTACGAAAAGCACATATCTAAAGCATATGAATTTCTGATGTGATAGAGCGCTATTTTATATTGGTGAAGTAAAGGTACATGGTGCTTAGTCTCATAAACATTCATGCCATATTTCGTAGACATGTCAACTGTTTGGAGAAGTTGGAGAGCGCGCGGACAACACTGACATAAAGTCGTTTCACCTTAGCCATAAAAATCCAATCCAATCCAATTCAATCAAATCTTTGTGTATGTAAAATGTGCCCGGAGCCGTATCTACCCTCCGGACGTGTCCGTACATACGCTCCCGTGTCGAACACTCGATCCGACCCATCTCCATTTCTTCATGGCCACTGGTTCTGATTACGCGTTCTCTTTGCCACATTGCTTCCGGACGGTATTTAATTCCTTCAGTAGCTTTCAATAGTAGCAAACAGACGGAGCCGCCGCGAGGGCTCGGTAAGCAGGTGAAAATCTTGCCTCCGCATGACGCGTTTTGGCGCACTGGTACGCACGACGGAGCAAATATACCACGTAGTTTCTAACAGGCCCGTGAACGGACCCAGAGGCCTGTACCATTGGGCTTTGGTCCATCGTAAAATGAGGCGGACTATAGAAGAAATTTTTTACCATCGAAAATTCGCTTTTCTTTAATATGTAATGCCAATTTGACGCTGCAGTGCAAGAAATTTATGGTGGTCCGCGTGCTGAACGTTGAAAACGACCTCCATTCGTCGGCCATTGTGCCTGACCAGCGCGGCCCCTATAGTTCGCTAGAGTCTCGAATAGCTTGTTGGGTTCCAAGCGTAATTTCAAGCCCAAACTACCGTTAAGGCGCGCGGTTGCAGACGGGATTCGGTAGGTGGCGCGGATGTATAGCAGGTTTCAGACGCTGCGTCCGCGTCCGCGTCTTTTGATATTTGGTGACCATAGTAGATGGACTCCAGAGTGCGGAAGGAGACGGTAGAGCTACAAGATTGCGACCGGTTCACCACTCGCGTCGCGTTCTCTCTCTCTCTCATATTGAAGCAAATTTAAAATGTTACGCTGGGTCAAAAACACCTGTTTTTTTTATTCAAGTTACAACATTTTATACGTGAAATAAATAGTTTCTACTGTATCTTGGTGCCCTTGCAAGCGGGAGATGCTTGGGTTTTTCTTCTGCGGCGGAGACACGCCATTATATAAAATTCTCGCGCATAGCGTGCGCTAACTCAAGCACTAAATGTAGCCCTAGCGTGCGCTAAATGGGCACACGTTCTTCTATAACCCCCTAAAAACAATGTCCAGTATCTCGAGGCGCAATTTATCGAGTAAATTGTTGTCTTCCGACTACGAATACAGTTATTCTTTCCTTTAAGGTGCAATGAGCGGCGCTATTGGTTTGCCCAATTTAGTGCTAGACGAAAGGTACGAATAAATGGAGCACTGGGTGGCCCCGGTGTGCTAAACCATTAAACCGATTGACCAACTGCAGCACCTGGATAATTAGCTACAGTTAAAATCTGGTTCACACATTTACCTTTGCCTGCGCCAAGTGAGCAGAGTGTCATGTGACCTCTTGTGGCCACTGGCGCCATCTGTCGGATAGCCATAAAACACTTCTGACCTAAGTACATATATTAAAATTTTATACGCATCACTCCTTCATGAAAAACTTGAGATGTATCTGAAAATGGCGAGATCGTTCATTGCTCATAACTACTTCGTAGATTTGATCTTGCAAGTACAACGCAATATTCTGTCTATTTCTAAACAGGTGTATGAACGATAGTATGCAGATGAATAAACCTATAAAAACGATTGAATAATAAACTTTATTGAAGTAATCAAAGTCTACGAAGCCGCCGAGAGGCCCCATCTTTGGGAAGCCTGGATTTGAACTCCACGTCTCCGAATATCCGGTCGGGTGTGCTAAACTACTGCACCGCTCGGCCTTGTCTTTGTAGCATTTCAGCTTTCTGGCTTTCTGGCCTCCCGGGACTCCCGCTATCCGACTGGATATTCGTAGTCTCGGAGTTCGAATCCTGGCTCCGCGAAAGAGTTTGTCTTTCGGCTGCTTGGTAGACTTTATTCGATCGAGTATGATTCATCTGCATAGGTTCGATTACCCTGTTTTTTTAAAGTGCCCGTGATAAAAAACAGGGGTATACGTGTATTGCGGCGAACCAAAATCACGGTGTCCTTACTTCATCTTCTTGCATCATCATGACCGCCGATCTTCGTTGGGGCCCGCGTGGGGCTCGGACTCGCGCGGGGGGGGGGGGGGGGGGGGGGGACATTTGGTGCTTTTAAACGGACAGTGAACGGTCATAGAAAACGCAACGGTTTGTCTTCGTCGGAGACATAAGTGGAGGTGCGCTTCTCGCCATTCCTGTTCCTGGAGCATTCAGCTACTTTCGACGCTGAGCCTCGGGAGCTGCGGCGTCTCACCTACCATACCCAAAACACCAGCCGCACATGAAGGTAGCGGCACTGTTGACGCGTGTTGCCAGCCTCTCGCCGCAG